GTTCAAATAGATTCGAGAGCGATCAGAATGGATATTTTTGTTGAAATATGATACCCTTAATTTTTCGCGATTACAATACTTCCAGTACTACTTCGTAAAAGAAGTAAAAAATCAGAAAATTATGAATAATGAAATTTGGTCATATCTTCCGTTACCTAGTTAATAGTGACGCATGCAATATGTTCAAAACTTTAACAACATTTTGCACAGATCACAATAATAGTCGAGTAAGTTTTAGATTGATTTTTGAGTTAGAAGTTCGTCTTGAAATTGATATTATAAATACAAATGGACGCAGAAAGTATTACTGATTACTTCAAACAAATGTTAAGTACATTATTTGCTACTGCATATTAATTAAAATTTTGAATCATTATGAATTTAATATTCATAATAAATTTTGAAACCGAGAAATTACTTTAAAGTTAATAATGAAAGTATAGCACAAATGCAATTTCATGTAACGATAATAAATTAAAAAATATAATTTCTATTCAGTAAAATGTAGAATTACACATACCTACATAATGTATTAACAAAAAACATTCTCAATTTTTAGTTTTAAATCATTGTCTGAAATGAACCACTGTTTACTTATATGCGTCTAAAATTAATTTCACTTTTTCATTGCCCTGCGTTGCTTGGGATTTGTCATCCATAGAATTCGGTCGCTTAGAATGTAGCCGACCTGGAACTGTTCTAATTCTTATTTTAAAGCTTAACTGTGTGATTTTATTATTACTAAATGTTTACGTATGAATAATTTGCTGTTATATGTTTACAGTTTGGTTTGAATAAACTGAGAGTGGTTGAATTTATTAATGTTATTTCAAATCAAAACTACTCTTTCGATTTCGGCACCATTTGAATATCGGAAAGTAAATAACCACTTTAATCAAAAAATCTTAAAAGAAGGAATGGTATTCTGGTACATGTCGAGAAGAATAGATAATTAATAATAGAGATAGTAAGCTATATTCTGTTACTTTAAAATAAAAGCTTTAAGGTTATTTCCCTCCTCACGATTTGACTCTTAACCATGGGAACAACAACTGCGGAATAAAAGTCGAGTAGATTAATTCTTTTTCCCAATTAATTTTCGTTTAATGTGTTCCGCTTCAGTAAAAAAAAAAAAAGAGAATAAAAACTGACCCGAATAGTCTTATACAATGTGGAGAAAATAAATGTTGTTCGATGATGACGACACGCATTATGATTGCAAATAATGGTACTGGCAACGGCCTTGAATTTCCTATTTTACAGATCAAACAATTAACATTGTCCTCATATATCTTGCAAACTTATAACCTTAACTTTTAGTTTACATATCTCTTTTTAGTTGTCATTGCTAATTTTTGTATTCTTCGTAGATATGATTTTGTGTTGAGCAGTTACAGGTTTTTTTTTTTTTTTTTTTTTTTTTGAGTTACTACAGGAATTGTTATATGAAATACTTTAAAAGAGTAAAAAATACACAGAATATTATTCCATTTTTCCATTTTTTGCGTCTTAGATGTTTAACTAAAGATTTTATTTCATAATTACATCTGAGATATTCTATCCTTAAGATAATTGTTACACAGGCAGACAATTGAAGGCAGAGATAACGACTCTTGGTAAGGGGGAATTGCTGATAACATTAAAGTTTGCAGATATGTGAAGAGGAATATTTCTAATCTAAGTATTTTGACTCAGATCCTTAAAAAAATTTAGAAGTGATAAAATGCTTCGTGTTCGTCAAAACAAGAAAAGTGTTTTTTGATCCCAAATATTAACATTTGAACTAAAGTTTTCTTTAAAAAATAAACATAATATTTGTTGTTTTTTTTTTCATAATTTTTTAATTACTAGACAGGAATATATTCATATGCAACTCTTATTTAAAGATTGTATAAGTCTATAAACGTATTCAACCAATTTTGAAACCATATACACGTAACAATATTATTGCTTTGCTTTGAGATAATATTCAATGCTGTTACATGCGTACGTGTTCGTAATTGATTGAATGCACAAGTCCGATAAAAGGTTAATAAAATTTATTCTTATCAAAAGAAATATAACAGAACGCTGGGATTTTCCTCAGAGATATTCGCGCAAGTGTTCACAATATCACGCAGTCATAATCAATACTTCAAACTACTAAAAATGCTAAATAGAACGTAATGCACAGCGCATTTAAAGAGAAAGCTAATCCGATTTATTTCACTTCACGCGGAACAACTCGCAACAACAATAACTACGCAAAATACGCAACTACTACTAACTACGCAAATAACTTAAACAACTGAGCTGAGATGTTTCTGTCCGGCTTTAAATAGTTTTCAACCGGCCGCGCGAGGTAGTTCTAACATTTTCTGCTTCTCGAGATTTCTAGAAACCAATAAGAGGATCTAATTACGGTTACAACTAACATAGTAGACAATTACATTTATTCAATTTAAATAAAAATTACCGAGATATCCATTTATTCAATGTTAAATGGACATGCTTCTGTATTTTTACTTTTCCAGCACAGCTTTCTCTTAAAATTTGTCACGCGCTGTATTCCACGGGGAAATAAAACAATTTTCATTATAAGTCTACTAAAATTAGCTATCTAAATACAAAATTCGTAACAATATATTAACATACATTTAAACCGTAATAATCAGTGAATAATTTATGAAATGATCCACGTATTCTTTGCTCAAAACGAACATGCAGTATGAAGTATCATCTTGCAATAAGATGATTTTCAGACTTTAACGGAACTCTGGCGGTAGGTTTCAAACTGAAAGATGCAGGGCTATCATTGACCAACAGTTTTGTGTTTCTTCTGATTCATTATGGTTAGAGACGATGAGATACATTTCGATGACATCAGAGATCACATGACATATGCATAGCTAATGTAAACAGCGAGGTCATTCTTCTTCTTCTCTTGCGGGGTGTAGCTCATTTATTTCTGCAGGATTAGAGCACTTAATCTCACAACTCTTATAAGCTCAACTGTCTGCGGTGTCGATTTTCATGGACTGAGAGAACATGGCAAATGCACATAAATTTTCTTAACCACAGTAAAAAAAATGTGAATCACAGTAAGATTTAGGAATATTCAACTTAACTGTCACCCAAGCAGCACAATTTCAGGTGTATCGTTGATTCCCCTGAAATCGAGTGGCTATAATGAAAAACACGTGGATGATTGGTAAAATCCTCTGACATTATACATGATGGTAGGAGTTTTATAATGTCAAGCAGAGACTTTACTGTGAAAGTTATTATTTTTATTATATCAAAGCACGTTTTCTCAGAGCTCTTAATAGGTCTATTACCTGTCATCTGTCTTCTTTGTGTGGTGACTACACATGGAGTTTCTTCGTTCACACCCTATTTATTATAGCGACTTTATAGTTGTCAACAGTTTCACAAACTTTGCAAGATTTTCTTATTAGATTAGGTTAAATTTTTCCTTTGTATGTCTATAAACGGTACTTTTTTTATTACCGGAACTGGATTGGAAAATGTATGTATGTATGTATGCACGTGCGTATATATGTGCGTGTATATGTATGTGTGTATACACACGCATACATACGTACTTATGCATATATGAACAGATACACCCATTATACTTGCATACATTAGACACATTTCTGAATCCGGTTCCGATGACAGAAGAGTACCCTATAAATATCAAAGTATACAGTTTGTTAAAACTCATGTAATGTGTTAATTATCATACCAAGCGTTATGTTATGAGATAATAAGTTAGTTATCAGGTAATAAATTAAAACATAGCTATTATACACTGCACAGACAATTTAGTCTGGCTGAAACTGCCAGAACTAGTGCTAATCAGCAATGCGGACTGAAATTCTCACAATTATAATTTTTATCAATGCAGTATTTATACTATTAAAGATTGTTTGCTTGTTTGTGTTATCTCTTCCGTTCCGGAAGAGAGTTGAAATTCGAGAGAGGTACCCCCGGATCCTAAAACTTCGAGGGAAGGCATTTCGATCATTCTTATCTTTGCACGACTTTAATCAGCCCAGATATTAATGAGATACATTCTGATGACATTATTGATCACGTGACTTATGTATATCTTTTGTAAACAAACGATGCAGATGACCTCAGAGATCACGTGGCTTATGTACAGCTAATGCAAACAAGCAAGGTCATTCTTCCTCTTCTTCTCTTGCGGAATGTATCTCATTAAACACTTTGAAAACTCGAAATTTTCACACTCATCTTTCCGAGTGGCAACAGACGCGCGCGCTGGAAATAAAAATCTGCTCTATTTCGAAAGTGTTGCCAATGCTCGTTTTCAAATCGTAGAGTTTTTTTAATAAAAACTTTGGAAGTTTTAGAAAATATGAAATAAAAATAAATTACCAAACATTAAATACAGTATTATTGTATAAGGTTATATTCTGACGGTGAAGAATTGCATGTGACGTCATATTATGTCATAAATGTTAATGTCAGCATTTTAAATAAATAGCTGATGTTGGCAACTTTTTTTGTTTCGAATTAGGATAATTGACACGATATATTATTGTCACGTTAATTCTTTTATTGATATTAATAAAAAGTTGTTATATTGCATTTAATTTAAATCATGACGTCATACGTATGGCCATGAAGTTTCAAAAGTTTTTATTTCCTGGTTTGGCAACAAAATACTTATTTACGATTTGGTTGTTGCTTGGAAAGAATTTTTCATATTCATTCATACTGAAATGTTTTTATACATTTTCTTTCATGTGTACATAGAACTTATAAATTTTAATTTAATTTATAAGTTCTATGTACAGTATAAGTCATAGTAATTTATAAGTTATTTTGTGCATAGAACTTATAAATTTAACACGCAGCCCACGTATGCTAGTTAGGTAATATTGCGCGTTCTTCAGCTGCCAACCACGCATATCTATTTTAGCTCGTGTTATGATTCAAGGCTATTAATTTATTTCATGCATGGTAAACAGAATTTCTATGAAGTAATTGATGGAGAACCGATATTTTAATCCGAAAACATCCACATGGGCAAGCAACGGAGTTCTAGCAAAAGCCGCGGTGTTTTAAAGAGAGGTGAATTCGACAGATTCCCTTATCTTTGCGATGCATGGATTGAAACGGACGATGGTAAAAAATTCGCTGTGCATCGGACCTTATTATCTAGAATTAGCCCATATTTTCTTACCGTTTTCACAACAACAGGTTTGTATTTTCCTTTCTATATATATATAGATTCACAAACAGCGACTTTTTACATTTTGAGCATGTAATAAATAGCAGAAAATGTATGAATACATTGCAAATATCAAGAATATCTATTATTTGCGGAGAATTTTAAATATTCATTCACAAAAGGGAAACAATTTATTTTCCAAAACGATTATTTACCATCTAAATCTTACATAAAGCATATAATTATATATATATGTTTTATGTAAGCTATGTTTATATATATGTTATATATTTAAACGGAAACAGTACTTTTCCGTTTTGCCGGCGCAAATCTCGCCAAGAAGACTTTATTGGCGAAAATACATACACATAAAAAATGTTGACAAATGTTAGTTCTAAGAATTTTTTATTTTGAAGGTATAAATACATTTTAATGTTGTTTAAAATTTCGTAAAATGCCAATAAATAAAGACAATAAATTTGTAAAAAGACATTAATATAAGAATTTACTATGCTTTCATCGCATAACATCCTGATTCGCCGGTTCATATCACTTGACCCCAAGTGTCTCATCTCACGTAAACTACACTACAAAAATCTGATTCTCTCAGTAATTATCTAGATTAATTTCAAGTTAAATCTTAATTTGGAATATAAGTTTAACTGCAAGAATTATTTCAATCCGTACGAATAGCTTACTCAGAAATTATGTAAAACCTCAGTGCTTTACTTCGCTAGTGCATTCTCATTAGAATGGATGAATTTAACCCTTGACTTTGGCTTTTCTATATTTTCGCCATCGGGTGAGCGGTGTGATTGCATCCTAATTGATTTAATTACCGCCAGCGAATGGCCTTAGGGCATAAAATTGAACTATCTGGTAAAAATTTTATGTAATTGTATGCCAGTATTGAAAGAAACAATCAATATGATAAGAAATGGCTGCGACTTGCTTTGAAAATGTAAAAGTTAAAGTGAAAGGATATTTCGTTTGGCATCGGTTGTACCATTACTGGCGACTTTATCGCTTGCGCCGGCAAAACGGAAAAGTACCAAAGATATTTATTAAACATTTTGTTTTGTAAACTTAATGATTGTTACTACTTAACGCAAATTTATTATTTATCAAACATTAAATGTATTTATCAACTAACCTACTTACAGCATTATTTAATTAACGTCCGGTTCTGACAATAGAAGAGTACCATTTTATATGACTTTAACCTCTGAATTTTTTTATAGTGTATTATATTTTGTAAATTACATTTCTCTTGATAATATTAATGCCTGAAAGCCATCCATGTTGTTCTTCATTAAGAATGTATGTCACCTGAAGTGACGTATAGCAACCTCCGACTCCTGTATCTAGGAAATTCAGTGTCCAAAAAGATAACATTAATTTCAGTACAGCTTTTTCTACAAGAAACTGGACAGTATACGTCATTCCACCTGATTTGGATTAGCGTGTATCATCAGGAAAGCAATCCACTCTAAGATTAGCGTAATGCTAATTTTAAAGCTCTGACAAATTAGGGCATCATTTTTAACACTTCATTTCAGTTTCTTTTGAAAAGGTCCTTGGGGAAAATATTATTCCTCTGAAATAAAGTAGCCTTCATGAAAATGAACCATCTAACGATATTTTCTACCGATAACGACTATGATAAATGTAATAAAGTAAACTGTTAGAGATTCCAACACTTTTCGACAACTTACAAACCTAAATATTATTGAATTATGTATATTTTAAACGATGCAAATAATGCTAGCAAGCAAATTGTTTCAGCACTGTTAAATTAATCAGTTTCTAATTACTAATCTTAGCTTTTAATATGAGATAAAATCAGGATAACTACTGCCTAGGATCTGTACCTAGGCAGTCTCGGACACGGGGGTATAAAAGTTATGAACTTGGTGGTGCTGAAGGCTCTGGGAAAGGTCACTCATTGGCCGGCCTCGGAGTCTGGCATGTCCTGAGCGGTTGGATCCGTAGCCGGGGGTTATCCCTCCGGTTTGCTGGGTAACGGCCCTGTGCGACGGGCTCGCCCATACGACTGGCAGGAGCAATTGACGACCAGTGTTCCTTGGTGTCGTATCCAGGTGCTGCTCCCCTGGAAGGGTAATAGTGGAGGTTGAACCTCCACGAAGTGCCCAAAGGTGACGTGTACCTGTAGTGTGCTTAGTTCACGGGGCAGGGCATCCAAGAATTATCTTAATCCCCAGTCGCCCTTTAAAAGGGGGAGTATATAAGGCATTTCTCCCGCCTTCTTAGCATGCCTTCGTGGTGTAATGGTCAGCACACTCGGCGCGTGTTCGACAGGTCCGTCGTTTGAGTTCCGGCGAGGGCATTGCTCATTTTTCATCTCTCCACCTTTCAAAACATATCTAATGCCTGTACAAGCTTACACATTATACCTATGATTTGGATGTAGTTAGTTTCGTATTATTCATTTACATTGCCAGTTTACGCCAGTTACCTTACACCAATTACTTTGATTTCAGAACCTAATTTTCAGCTACGCTACCATAGTTCATTTTCAAGTGAAATTCGTTAAATCAGCTAGATATCAAATCTTATCAACTTTTGGCGAAGTTAACTGCTTTACCTACCATAATACAGCATTTACGACATAATAGTTTTTCCATTTAAAAAGCAGGGAACTTATTCACTTTCCCTTTAGTTGAAATCCAACAAAAGGACATAAATATGGTTATTTTTCTTCTTACATTAGAATTTATGGAGTTTCACATGTTTTGGTAAAATACACTAAGTCGACTCAAGCGACGTCAGAGTTATGTCTACATAAGCAAACAGAAACGTTCAAAAAATACAAATCAATACAAAAATGTTCAAAATCAGGTAGTATTTATGGCGTGAACTCAAAAGTAGAATTTTAAATTAACTAAACCTAAGTATCTATTCGCCAAAGGCTTGGCCCTTAACCTACACCGTCGTGACAGCACCGTCAACAAGAATAAAGCAATGATGTAGACAGGAATGCTTATCGTAGAATAACAACTAGTAACGTGGCCTTCAGTAGGAAGAACACAATCTGGCTAAAACATATGGATGCGGATACGGATTATGAAATCGCTTCTGTGGCCTTAGAGGACGCCTCAATAAACTAAATAAGAAAACCTGTAGAGACATTAGGTAATTTGGAAGCAGGAAAGATGAAAAATGAGCAACCGCTTTCACCGGGAATCGAACCGCAGAACTCTGTAATACGCGACCAGCGTGCAGACTACCACACCACGAAGGCATGCCAAGAAGAAATATCTTATATACTCTGCTCTTTTAAAGGGCGACTGGGGTTTTTAGGGGACCCAATCGCCAAATCCTGGGTGTGGAGAATCATCATCCACAACCCTTTTTTTAAGTTCGAGCGCCACTGTAGGGACATTAGGTAATTTTTAAGCAGAAAAGAGAAAAAATGAGCATCCGCCTTCGGTGGGAACTGAACCGCGGAGCTCTGGAATACGCTCAGCATGCAGACCACTACATCACGAAGACATGCCAAGAAGGCGGCAGATATACCTTATAAAACAAGCCATTGAGTTTAATGAAGTAGCAGATGAAACTCCAAGAACGGTCAAGAAATTGAGGTAAACTTGGGAAGACCATTGTCTCCTGTGCCAATCTAGTGACGAGGAAAGTGACGAGAGACAAAAGTCATGCCGCGCTAGAAAACAAGTAAACGTTGATAGTCAAAACTAGGTTACGAAGTTGTGATCTCTAAGATTATGAGTAGCAAATGGCTTTATCAAATTATCTTCTGAAATGATTTGGTAACTAAGAACTTCTGCAAATTATGCAGCAACCACAGCTACGTCCAGGTTTGAAGAAAAGCTTGTTATGTTTGGTAATGTAATCCACTATACAGGCGATATTCAAGTTGTCATGGATCAATTTATTTCAAGTCCGATAATAAACACTTACAATTCTTCTTGGAATCTTACTGTGTACTACCTGAAGTTTGTGGAGTTCTGACTTTGAGGCTGACAGCCAGGCTGCACATACGTAGCACAGAATTATCCTTATAATGCATAGGACCTTTAATGCCTTATATTTTTTAGAATCCAGAGTAATTTCCAAAGAGTACAGGAAGCTGGTTGGCTATACCACAGGCTTTTCCTATGATGTGCTTAATATGACAAAGCCATGTAAGCCTTTGATTAATTATAACCCTTGGATAACTTTTGTTATTTACACGTTACTGGCTGAAACAATCTCAATCCACACTTAAATATACAGGAGCTAATTTGCATTCTAGCAAGAAAACGGAAAGAGAGACTTAACAGCACAGATTCGTAACAAGAGGTAACTTCTTAATTAATATAAATAAACCTAACAAACTTATACACTTGTATAAATCTGTTATTTCTTTCGAAAAAATTAAAATTTTATATGCTCAGTCCTTAGGATTCGAAACTTAACATTTTATAATTTACGTTACTGTAAAATTAGGAAATTTTTGCTCAAAGTATTGCATTTTCATATTTTAATACTGAGTTTTAATGATGTGCCAATGTTTTATTCATAATACTTTTCACTATTTATGAATAGGTTGCAGAAGAAGGTTTAGTACATGTCACATCTCAGGAGTGTCAGCGGAAGTTATGGAAATAATTATTAAGTACGCTACTGACTACAAAGTGCAAATTGACGAAGCTATTGTCCAAGATCTTATGTTTGCATCTGAATATTTTTTGGTACAAGGCTTAGTATCTAAATGCTGCAATTATGTTCGTTCTCACATCTCCATGTATAATTGCGTTGCATTTTATGAAATATCATCCTGGTTGGAACACTTAGGACTCAATGAGGAATGTTTTCGCTTCGTGGTGACGCATTTTGAGAAGGTTGTTCAAGAGCACAGCGAATGCTTGTCGAAATTAAGAATGGAAGATATCGAAACAATTTTGAAATCTGATGACCTTAATGTGTCTGATGAATGGACTGTTTGGAAAGCTACTGAAATTTGGGCACTAAGTAACCCTCAAGAAAGATTGCAACAAGTGGCTAGACTCTTGCCCTATCTGCGGTTGAATCTCAGTGATTTATCAAAGATTGCTGATCACGCCATCATGAAAAGCAATGAGACATTCAAGCATATAAGCTCAAGCAATGTAAGTAAAAGACGACCATTGCCACCAAAGAAGTGTTACGTTATATTCGATTGCGAGAAAGAAAATTGCAGTTGTTTCATAACTTATGACGAAAAACTGGATTTCCAAAGAAAAGTATCTAGTTTTCTCTTCCGGCCAGTCGATGTTGATCGTGGACCTGGTCTGAGCGTATATCTCTTCATGGGTTGGGAATGCTGGTTATTCGATGTTGTACAAGCTAGACTGATACCTCTGCCAAATTTTAGGACAACTCGACTAGATTGTGCAATAGCTTCTGTAGCCGGTCGCCTATACGTTATTGGAGGCAATTTTTATCTTCCTAGATATACAAAATTCAGAATTGTTGAATGTTATGATCCGGTGACCAATATGTGGCAGTATGTGGCTTCTACTGCAAACCCCTGCCGGGGAGATGCGGCCGTCCTAAGAGGAAAGATTTACACATTTGGCGCTTATTTCGATCCCTTTCTTCAACAAGAAGTATCCATTGGAGAAGTGTATGATCCTTTAACAAATACGTGGACACTCTTGCCTCCTACTGTGAATTTCAGCGAAGTCATTGCTGTGTTGGCATTATGCAACAAGATATACGTAGCTGGACGATTCAAACGAGTGATAGTTGTGGTAAGATACAATCCTAACCTGAACAAATGGAACAAAAGGTTGAAGAATTTACCCAATAAATTTACAAAACCGAAAGCTGTCGTTCTCAAAGAAACGATTGTAGTATACGAAGGTAAGTATATTATGAGAGCAATTTTCTATTTGTATCATTATTATGCTGAAAGGAAATATAAAGTATGTAATACAGTTCAAATGTAGCACTAGGGCAACCTAACTCCTTTGTCCTTCCTTTATAACTTCTCTGATGGTATTCCTCAACGTTTTGCGTATGCCATTGAGTCTCATAACTTCACATATTCTGCTTTATTTTTTGCAGTGTTAGTAGCGCATCATAGCTGTTACGCAGACTTCGATAGCAGAATATGCTGATCAAAATCATTTAATATATTTTTAGTCATTATTCTATTTTTTTTTAAATCAAAAACTGTAAGTGACCATCATTGTAGAGGACATTTATTGTTCTTGTGACTTATCTCACCTGTCTGAGAATAACATCAGAACAAGCCCACGAAATCCATCGTGGCGAGGCATGCAAGGTTGCGCGTCGCTAAGAGCCTTGAGCACCATATAGGTGACAAGGTCAGTTCCACCTCCCAGTTTTGATGGAGAGCACCCCGGCGGGTGATGATTCCGAGGATCTTGTACCCCCTCTTCCCCTACCACCAACATCTTGAAAGGCCTTTCCTCTCGCCGCATATTTAGAGCTTCCCCATGCCACACAGACGCTATGCGTTTACAAACATCCATACGTTCTCCGGGATTCGAAGAACTCAGGCCCTTAAGTACGGTAGTGAGATTCGCTAAACACTATCCCGGTTGGGTGGCGTCTTCCTTTACCAACTTGCTATTGGAGACTTTTCCAAAGCTTTTCTTAAGAATATTATTTTTTAAACTTGTAGAATGGTTGTTATTTTAATGAGTTAGTTGTTATGGTTTAGACATTTACCATAACTTCTCTTTTCCATTTCTTCACAAGAAATGTCAGTGAGTTCGAGAATATTTAAGTCGAGGCTTTGGTTTATAAAAGACAGCGTGTTTCTACCTTTTTGTGTTTCTATCTTATCAGAGCTGGCGAAACTTAGTGGAAAAGACCACGTTTTCCACTAAGTTTCGCCAGCTCTGATAAGATTGTAATTCTTTGGTTTTGCTATAATTCTGCCAACATATAGTTGTTACGTCGGCCCAAGGCCCAAGGCGATATTTTCCGGAGTACCTTTGCAACTTAATGCAATTACCTCCACAACTTCGTTAAGGAAAACTGAGGTGATTAAGACAAAGCACTGGCTGAAGGGTAATGAAGGAACCATTAAGGGTTTACAGAGAAGGAAGTGAATAAGGAGTCCTCACTATGGACGATAAATTCTTTCTGCTTTCAACGCTAGGTTGAAAGAGAGAGAGGTGTTGGATAAGGCGAATTCCTGAATGCATTGCATTAATGGAATCGGAAAGATTGAAAGACTAATAGCCGGGAATCATAATTTTCCAGGGCTCGGGAAAGGTATGTTAGGTAATACGGAAAACCGCAGTAATCGCTAATGCCTTGGGGATGGGCTGGGGGGGAGAGAGTCTTACGACTAAAGCAGAGCAAGGGATGGTGGAACGAAAAGAGGGGGGGAAAGGATTCAAGAGAAGAAAAAGTTCTCCTACCGCCCGTGGCGAGAGTACAATAGGAGCAACTTTTGGAGCGGAAAGAACCGTGAAGAAGTTAACTGTAGAAAAGACGGAGAAGTTTTAGGATAGTTAAAGGGAAGGGAAGTAAAGAAAAACGTTATAAGTTGGAGAGGAGAGGTGGATTAAAAAGTGGAAAGAAATAAAAATGGGGACAGAATTAACCAAAATTACCTGATTGCAGTTGGTGTTTGAAGATATGCAAGCTTGTACATATGCAGATTGCTGGAACAAAAATTCATGAAATAAAAGTGTTTTGAGTAGCGTATGGGGGAGTTAGATTTAGAAGATTAGAATATTAATTTAAATTTCAATAATTAGGCAGTTTAAGTTAAATAATTAAGTTAGGTGATAAAATAATAGAGAAACGTTAAAACTATTGCAAATCTGATTTATAATTGTCTGGGCCGTGTTTTATGAAAAGATGAGGTCTTGGCAAGTGGAGGGGCATGTTACCTATAGCAGCACGGATATAAAACCGAGAAACGAGGCCGAATTAGGTCCGGCGGGCATGTGGAAGTATGGAATTAATTAAGGGTCGCCGGGTTAGGCCCGTGAAGTGCTTGTTAAGTTTAAAAATTTAAGATTAGAAAGAATTCCTAGTCAAGCAGACACCTCCGCTTTCGGCTTCCTAGGAAAGATGTTATAAGTTCTATCAAGAACGCTCCTAGGTCGCTTAGCTGAGCTGGGCTCAGCTGGATCGTAAGGCAGGAAGTGAATGCAAGACTGGGTTTTCAATCTGAGTTAAGTCTATTAAAGAATTTGGCCGAATTTTGCCGGAAAAAGGCATCTAGGGGTAGAATTTTGAGATCGTTATGGAAGCACTTCATTACGGACGAAATAATGAGCATTTGTCAGGATACGAAGCGTGACGCTCTGGAATACTTGGAGTTTCTTTAGGATGGCTATTGGCAGCAGTTGACCAGACGACAGCTGCGTACGTCAGGATCGGTAGGATGGTACTCTTGTATAAAAGGATCTTATTGTTGAGGGAGAGGTTGCTGGTTCTTTTGAGGAGAGACATCAGTTGGGTTCTTGACAGTTCTTTTCTTGCTTTTGAGATGGCGTAATTGATGTGGGTATTCCAGAGCAGCTTCGCATCTAGATAAACTCCCAGATATTTATAGGATTCCACCCAGGGTACATTTTCTTCAAATAATCTGAGTGGAGGGAGTTGACTATGGACATTCCTCTTTCTGGAAAAGAAAACTGTGGCGGCACTTTTTGCGACATTAATTTTGATTTTCCAGGTAATGAGCCAGGACTCCAAGTCTGTTAAATACAGCTGTAGGTGATTGAGAGTGGCATGTAATGTTGAGTGCTGTGAAATGATGGCTGTGTCGTCCTGCATAGAGTGCTAGATCGACACTTGGTGATTGTGGTATGTCATTTACATACAAGTTGAAGAGCGTGGCGCTAAGAATTCCTCCCTGAGGCACCCCCGCCAGGATAGGGCGAGGAGAAGAGACAGAATATTTAACTTTGACAGAAAAGGTACGATTAGTGAGGTAAGAGTGCATTATGTGCACAAAATTAGCCGAAATTTCAAGTCGCATGAGCTTGAATAAAATTCCGATATGCCAACATCTGTCGAAAGCCTTTGCTACGTCTAAATAAACAATAGCTGTAGGCTTTCCACTGCGAGATCCTGTGTGAATGATTTCAACTACCCTCAGTAGCTGGGCCTGAGTTGAGTGTTTAGCACGAAAAGCCGAATTGCTGAGGAATAATAATATTTCGGTTTCGGCAGAAATCATTCAGGTATCTAAGCAGTATAGCTTCGTAAATTTTACTAAGTGAAGACAGAAGGCTGATCGGCCTATAATTTTGAGGGACCTTTGGGTCCATTCCAGGTTTTAGAATAGGAATGACTAATGCATTCTTCCAGCTATGGGGATAATATTTTAGCCTTAGCATTGAATTTATCAAAACTGCTAGGTAAAATATGAATTTAACTGGCAGATTTTTAATCATGCGATTAGAAATCCTATCCAGGCCAGGTGCTTTTGCAGGGGTGAGATTTTTGATAAAAGCAGAAATCTCAGTCATTGTTGTGGTGATGGGATCCTCAGAATTTGTATCTGAGGAGAGAAATTCTTCAACTTGGTGTTGGACTTCATGCGTGTGCTCTGCACAGGAATCGAACATGAGTCCAGTGTTAGGTGAAAATGTGTGTTTGAAGGCTGTCTGCTATGCGTTCAGCCTTTTCGGTGTCTGTTAATGCCATCCGGTCATTGACCGTGCCCATTAGGGGGGGAATGTCGTGTTTTGGTTTGCGAAGCCGTGCGCTAGCAACCCAGAGGCTATTATCGGAAGTCTTTAAGGACTTAAGATAGTTTGCGTATTTTTCGTCTGTGTATTTCTTAATGTCAGACTTGATCTCATTCTGGATCCTTCGCAGTTGCACTCGAAAAATTTTCCGAACGTGTATTTTGCCAGTCTCTGCGAAGGCGGTTTTTAATTTTGATTTTATCTTTAATGTGATCAGGTAATTTATAATAATTTTGCCTGAATTTGGGTTTGGAAGCAGCCGTAAATGCGCTTCCTAGGGTTTGGTTGAGCCTGTCAATGGCAAAATCAACCTCCTGATTATCGTGAATTTTGATAGGGGGGAGAATACCATTTTCCAAGACATACCGAAAGTTGTCCCAATTTGTGGAGACTTGCGCCGGTAAATTTTGGTTAATTTTGGATGTTTTAAGGGTGAGGTGAACCGGATAATGGTCAGAGGACAATTCCGGAATCACTTCGATCGAATAATCTACTGGGATATTTTTAAATAAGGCCAGATCAATAATGGAAGGAGCACCCAACCCCCCAGGAAACTGGTAATGGGTGGGTGTGTTTGGCGCAATAATTTGGATACGGGCGTCCTGAGCCCAAATTTTGAGTTTATCGCCATAGTTGTTGGCAGTGACACAATCCCAACTTCTATGACGGGCATTTAAATCTCCTGCGATAATCAGGTTATTTGCAACACCACTTAATTTTCTGAGATCAGAGATAAATGCGGGTCCCTGTCTCGGAGGCATATAGCAGGACGCTACTGCTATTGGGGGACAATTTGGAATATGAATTTGTACTATAGTCGCTTCTAAGGCCTCCAGTGGTGGCGTGGGAATCCTAGAATGTTTTAGGGAGCGTTTTACATAAATGCTAGTACCGCCACTAGCACGAACAGTGTCACTGATGCATACCTCTCTGTCATTTCGGTAGCAGAAATAATTCGCGATGTTCGCGCTAAGTCCCTCAACCAGATGTGTCTCCTGAACGAGGAAGAGGTCCATGTGATGCTCATTAATGAAATCCCGGACTTCGTGAATCTTCTTCTTGATTCCGTTAGCATTCCAGTAGGAGATCAGGAGAGAATCTTCACTGGTTGCACAGTTGAACTTGAGGCCGTTAGTTTAAGAGGCCACAGTATGCCTCATAAATATAAAATGC